AGCATTTGTATTGAAAGCGAAGGGTATTTATAGGAAAAAAAAATCAGAATTTTTTTGGATTTTTTAGTATTTTTTTAAAAAAAAATTTCGATTTTTTTTCATAATTTTATTGTCCAAAAATCGCCAGCCGTTGGATGAACATTTGGAATCAAATCGGAGCGCTGGGGGCGTGCCACGTGTCTTCCACCCGTTGCACGCGCCAACGGTAAAAAAAATTCGAATTGCGCTTGACGACATCAGCCTGACATCGTCATGACGTCACCCCCACCGCGTTTTGGACCTGGGGCGGAAGTTGCCTTCGGGCCATCCCGGGTTGGTGGGTCCCACACCCCCCCGGGCCTGGGCTTCTCCGCTGGAACGAATTTTTTTTTTCCCCCCCTGGGGCTGGGCTGCACCGGTGGAATAGCTCTAATAACTAGGAGGAGCAAGACAAATGGTTAATATATTTTTATTTCTTATTGAAACACGAAAGGGTATTGAATTAACCAAACCAATACAAAGTTCGCCCGTGAAGACCCCTATGGCGGTTTAGCCGAACAATTGCTTGCCCACTAGTATGGCATCCCCGAGGAAGATAAAGTCACTATGGCGGCCGTTCACCTATCTGGCTACTCTTAACTATGGATGCGTAACATTTTCTCAAGTACAGGACCCTCTTCACTACTCTACTGCTTCAACATTTTGGCCTTACAGACATGGGGGGTTGTCCCATATTCAACAGACCGGTTTATTAGAAGAGTGTTTCACTTTGTTCACCAAATTAGCATGCAGAGACCAAGAATGGTCAGATTCCCAATTGAAAAAGTGCTTGACTCAAAGAAGAAATCTGATTTGATGTCTTGTAATATTGTCCATGACCTGTTAACACCATATGAATTCTCATGAAAAAATCAGTATTCGGGTTGGGCTTAACAAATTGGGTTGAAAATGGATGAACCCGTTAGCCACTCGTTAAGTTAACGGGTCGTGTTATGTCCATTCGAGAATGTTGGCTACCCACCTGTTAAGAGGGGTAATTTTGTAATTTTACATGTAATTTATACTAACAAAAAGTTTTAACTTCCCAAAATGGGGGTTCGAACCTTTCTTTCACTTCTCTTTGTCATTCTACCCCATTATTGTATTCTTGTGTTATTATTATTCATTGTTGTTGAAATCCCTAAGATAATTTTAGCTCCAGCTCGAGAATATTCTCTATCTGAAAGTCAAATTTGAAGTTCGTAAATTTCCCA